TCCCTGTCCCTGATCATCATCATCAAGATGCAAATTAAAATGACAAGGAGGTATCATCTCACACCTGTCAGAATGATTATCATCAACAAATCACCAAATGACAAGAGCTGGTGACAAGTGCTGTAGAGAAAAGGGAACTCTGTACATGGCTAATGGGAATGCAGACTGGTGCAGCCATTATGGAAAATGGTATGGAGTTTCCTCAAAAAGTGAAATATGGGTCTGCCATTTGACCTAGTGATACCACTTCTAGAAATATAACCTAAGAATTCCAAAGCACCAATCAGAATGGATATATGTATTCTGATGTTCATAGCAGCACAGTTTACAATAACTAAGATCTGGAAACAGCCCAAGGGCCCATCAGTAGATGAGTGGATAAAAAAGCCATGGTACGTCTATACCATGGAATACTATGCAGCAGTAACAAAGAAGAATCTCTTACCTTTTGAGACAGCATGGAGGGATCTGGAGAGTATCATGCTGAGTGAAATAAGTCAGTCAAAGAAAGACAAGTATCCCATGATCACACTCATATGTGAAAAATAAATAACAAAATAAATCAATAAACATTGTGGATCCAGAGACATGGAACAGGGTGTGGAATCTCAGAGGAAAGGTAAGGGAGGGAGGGTAATCAACCAAGGACCTTGTATCCATGACCCATGGACACAGACAGTGTGGGAGTGAGGTCCTGGGGGAGGGGGGGAGAAAGGGGTGGGGGTTGGGTGGGAGGAGGTTAAAGGAGGAAAAGGAGGGCATATACAATACTGTCTACAATAAAGAAGTATATATATGGCTAATATGCAAAGTACCCCCTCAGGATTCAACCTGGAGAGCAGAAGTTGGATCACTCACTATGACATGTGCTGACCATCAGGGTGTGGCGTGAAATGAAGGAAGGCCCCAGCCGGCAGCCAAAGGGCCTTGATTGTCACCTGCCAGCCCTAGGGACCCTACCTGTGCATGAATTTCAGGCACCAGGCCTCTAGTCCATATATTTAAAAGCCCAGAGACCAAACAGCAGAATGACCAGAATGACCAGTTGACCAGTCGCTGTGACGCAAACTGACCACCAGGGGAAAGATGCTCAACGCAGGAGCTGCTCCCTGGTGGTCAGTGCACTCCCACAGTGGGAGCACCCTTGCCTGCCTGGGATGAGTGACATTCCCACAGCTGGGCCGATCCCCGCAGGCCACGCCTCCACCAGTGTAGGAATCCATGCAGCAGGCCTCTGGTAAAAAAATAATTTAAAAAAGGTCAATTAATATTTATTTATAATAATTGGTCTCTGCACCTTAATTAATTGTGGCGCAGACTGCTACTTTTATAAACACATGTTGCTTTGTAAACTCGTGGACACATACAACAGTGATGATTACAGGTACAGGGGGAGGGACGGGTGGAAGAGGGCATCTATTCTAATAAAAGGGTAATATGCTAATTAGACCAGGTCAACTGGCTATCTTCCGGACATCTGGATTCCTTCCAGACAAAACCATGTTGGTGGGGGCTGAGGCAAAAGCAGTTAGGGGCAAGGTCAGGCTGGCAGGTGGTTAGGGGCGGTCAGGCCAACAAGAGAGGGCAGTTGGGGATGACCAGGTCTGTAGAGCAGGGCTGTTGGGGGCAACCAGGCTGGCAGGGAAGGGCAGTTGGGGGTACAACCAGGTTGGCCGGGGAGGGCAGTTGAGAGTACAACGAGGCTGGCAGGGGAGGGTAGTTGGGGGCAAGATCAGACCAGCAGGGGAGGGCAGTTGGGGGCCACCAGGCCAGCAGGGGAGGGCAGTTGGGGGCAACCAGGCCGGCAGAGGCGTGCCATTAGGGGCGAGATCAGGGCAGCAGGGGAGGGCCATTGGGGGCAACCAGGCCAGCAGGGGAGGGCCGTTGGGGGCAACCAGGATGGCAGGGGAGGGCAGTTGGGGGCAACCAGGCCATTGGGGAGGGCAGTTAGGGGGCACAACCAGGCCGGCAGAGGAGGGCCATTAGGGGCGAGATCAGACCAGCAGGGGAGGGCCATTGGGGGCAACCAGGCCGGCAGGGGAGGGCCATTGGGGGCAACCAGGATGGCAGGGGAGGGCCGTTGGGGGCAACCAGGCCATTGGGGAGGGCAGTTAGGGGGCACAACCAGGCCGGCAGAGGAGGGCCATTAGGGGCGAGATCAGACCAGCAGGGGAGGGCCATTGGGGGCAACCAGGCCGGCAGGGGAGGGCCATTAGGGGCAACCAGGATGGCAGGGGAGGGCCGTTGGGGGCAACCAGGCCATTGGGGAGGGCAGTTAGGGGGCACAACCAGGCCGGCAGAGGAGGGCCATTAGGGGCGAGATCAGACCAGCAGGGGAGGGCCATTGGGGGCAACCAGGACGGCAGGGGAGGGCCGTTGGGGCTGAGATTAGATGAGCAGGGGAGGGCCATTGGGGGCAACCAGGCCAGCAGGGGAGGGCCATTGGGGGCAACCAGGCTGGCAGGGGAGGGCCGTTGGGGGTGACCAGGACGGCAGGGGAGGGCCGTTGGGGGCAACCAGGATGGCAGGGGAGAGCCGTTGGGGGCAACCAGGCCATTGGGGAGGGCAGTTAGGGGGCGCAACCAGGCCGGCAGAGGAGGGCCATTGGGTCAACCAGGCCAGCAGAGGAGGGCCATTGGGGACAACCAGGCCAGCAGGAGAGGGCAGTAAGGGGGCACAACCAGACCAGCAGAGAGGGCCATTGGGAGCAACCAGGACGGCAGGGGAGGGCCGTTGGGGGCAACCAGGATGGCAGGGGAGAGCCGTTGGGGGCAACCAGGCCATTGGGGAGGGCAGTTAGGGGGCGCAACCAGGCCGGCAGAGGAGGGCCATTAGGGGCGAGATCAGACCAGCAGGGGAGGGCCATTGGGGGCAACCAGGACGGCAGGGGAAGGCCGTTGGGGGTGAGATTAGATGAGCAGGGGAGAGCTATTGGGGGCAACCAGGCCAGCAGGGGAGGGCCATTGGGGGCAACCAGGATGGCAGGGGAGGGCCATTGGGGGCAACCAGGATGGCAGGGGAGGGCCGTTGGGAGCAACCAGGATGGCAGGGGAGGGCCGTAGGGGGCGAGATTAGACCAGCAGGGGCGGGCCATTGGGGGCAACCAGGCCAGCTGAGGAGGGCCATTGGGGGCAACAAGGCCGTTGGGGAGGGCAGTTCGAGGGCGCAACCAGGCCGGCAGAGGAGGGCCATTAGGGGCGGATCAGATCAGCAAGGATGACTATTGGGGGCAACCAGGATGGCAGGGGAGGGCCGTAGGGGGCGAGATTAGACCAGCAGGGGAGGGCCATTGGGGGCAACCAGGCCAGCAGAGGAGGGCCAATTGGGGCAACCAGGCCAGCAGGGGAGGGCCATTGGGGTTGACAAGGCCATTGGGGAGGGCAGTTAGGGGGCGCAACCAGGCCGGCAGAGGAGGGCCATTAGGGGCGGATCAGAGCAGCAGGGGACGGCCATTGGGGGAAACCAGGACGGCAGGGGAGGGCCATTGGGGCCAACCAGGACGGCAGGGGAGGGCCGTTGGGGGCGACCAGGCCATTGGGGAAGGCAGTTAGGGGGCGCAACCAGGCCAGCAGAGGGCCATTGGGGGCGAGATCAGACCAGCAGGGGAGGGCCATTGGGGGCAACCAGGACGGCAGGGGAGGGCCGTTGGGGCTGAGATCAGACCAGCAAGGGAGGGTATTTGGGCAAGCACACAATTTTTATGTGGACTGCATATTTCATAGGAAGCTTTGAGAAGGTTTATGGAAATGGTGTTTGGTACTTTTTGCACCCTCCTAGGGGTTCATTTTGCTTGATGTTTAATGCTTGATTTGGTTAGGATTCATTTGATTTGGGAAAAAGGAAATGGATTTTGGCCTGAATTCCGTTAATGTTGCATTAGGCCAGTTTCAGAAATGTGCAGCAGTTGATGGCTGACCCTGGGGGCGGTCTCAGCTGCAATGCTTGATGCTGTGGCTCCCACCACCTGGGAAATTACGCCAAGGTGACCACATGCTTAAGGGATGATCCTGGGGATGAAGTACTAGGGATCCCAAGTGGACCTTAGGTCCAGCACCAACCCACCGGGCCCGAGTATAGACAACCACCCCCGCCCAGCAATGGCACACGTTTTATTAGCATTTCATTTATGACTGAGGTTCTGTGGCTACCCCATCTTATTTGTGTATTTCTTAAGTAAACTGCTTGTTCATGAACTTTGCTCATTTTTGTGATGGGTTAGCTTATTAATTCTTAAGAGCTTTTTGCTTATCAGGGAAATTAACCCTTTGTTACGGGTTTTTATGCAGTCCCCACCCCCATTCACATTTATATGTGATTTTTATGCAGTCCCCACCCCCATTCACATTTATATGTGATTTTTATGCAGTCCCCACCCCCATTTATATGTGTTTTATGCAGTCCCCACCCCCATTCACATTTATATGTGATTTTTATGCAGTCCCCACCCCCATTCACATTTATATGTGATTTTTATGCAGTCCCCACCCCCATTCACATTTTATTACATGTGATTTTTTGTAGGCTCCCCCTTCCCTCTCCTCCCTCCCCCACTTATAACCGTGGGGCCTCCCTCCCACCTTTTTACCACCTCCAGCACCACCACCACCACCACCGTGAACAACGGCATTTGCTCGAAACCGCAAATAAGTCAAAGGAGTCCCAAACTGCAATTTTTAAATTTTTATTGATTTTTTAATGCTGCACAAGACAATATTGAATTCATTTCTTTTATTTTTGTTTGCTGCTTTTAATTTTAGTTACTTAAAGAGAGAGGGAACTGTTTTGGCCTTTTTTTTTATTTATTTATCTTTATCTGAAGGCCGCCTTAAGCTTTCTAAATTTGGAATATTTGAGCAAGCTGAAAGGGAAAAGGGGTTTTAATCACTCAAGGGGAAAAGGAAAGGTTGCTTTGTTAATCATGCCCTATGGTGGGTGATTAACTGCGTGTATTTCATGTTAATTAATCGTGCTTAAGGCTGTAATTAAATTGGGTCCCCCTCTTAGAGCAGCTCGTACTGGCGGAGGTGCATGCGCTGGATGATGTCGCGGCAGTCGTTGAACACGCGGCGGATGTTCTCGGTGTCCACGGCGCAGGTGAAGTGGGGGTAGCAGTAGTGGCGCCCATCTCCACTCGCAGTGCTGATTCTCTGCGGCACAGACAGGGACGCTCGGTTAGCACCGCCTCTGCACGAACCTGCCCCCTCCCCCCAGGGCCCCTGACCAGCTACTGACGTTAATTAAAACAAACCCACGTCAAGGGGCACAAAAGCTAAAATTCACAGGGCAACCCAGGAGATGAAATGGAAGTACTGGATAGTTTAATCTCCAAGTGTGGAATTAAGTTAATTTCCATCCTCGAGAATCAAAGCAACCAGGGAGAGACGTGAAGACAGTTACTCACCAGAAACTCATCGCGGATGAAGTACTTGGCCCGGGTCACGCGGGGGTCCTCGCCAGGCTCGGGAGTAGCTAGGAAGAACATAAATATTTTGTTATGACTGAATATGGAAACTAACATGCCAATTAACTGGGGAAGGTCCTACGTACCATCCTCAGGAGTAGTGTAGCGAGCAAATTCTGGAAAGTAGTCCTCAATCTTGGATTTTCCAGCGAGGACTTTCTCAGCAAGCAGGTCTTGCTTGTTGAGGAACAGAATCACAGAGATGGTGCGCAGCCATCTAACAGAGAGGGGAGCAGGGTTAAAGCCCAGGAGAAGAGATTTCTCCTTCAAGGGGCTTGAGATGCTCTCACAAGGACTTGGACAAGATTCTGCTCTAACGCGGGGGGAAATGCAGGGCCGGACTCAGTCCGAGGAGGGCCGCCCCGCCCACCTGTTGTTCCAGATGCTCTTGAAGAGGTTCAGAGCCTCCTGCAGACGGTTGGTCTGGTTGTCCTCACGAATGACCATGTTGTAGCTGCTGCTGGCCACCACAAAGATGATGGCAGTCACATCTTCAGCGCAAGAAAGCAAGGCAATACGTGTCAGAAGCAGAAGGACCCTTCACCGTTACAGAAGCAGACAGAACGCAGACGGAGAGAAGCTTCCTTACCGTTGAAGCACTGGATCCACTTGCGGCGCTCGTCACGCTGGCCGCCAACGTCAAACATGCTGGAAGGGAAAGGACGCCGGTTACGCCCCGGGGCCTCCCAGGGGAACGCCTAGACACCGTTATCTCCGTTTCCCCATGGGAACCTGTTCACTTACTGGAAGTTGACTTTGTCCACCTGGAACTTGGTCTCAAAGATTCCAGAAGTCAGGACACGGCAGCGCAGCAGGTCCTAAAACATAACCAAAGTCAATGGGTCTCCCCAAAATCGACCGAAATGTTAAAAAAAAAAAAATAGCCAATCTAGAGCAGAACTCTTAAAAGCCGGAGAACTTGTGTACCTGGTCGCTGGGGACATAGTCGTCCTGCTTGATGACATCAATCTTGTCCAGGAAGCTGGGAGGGGAAGGAAGACACGGGGGCAGTTGAGCGTCATGTCAATGTGCCCAATATTGCCAAATTATCTTAAATTGCATTTGCTCTGACGCTCAGAGTCAGGGGGTGGGGGGTGGTGACCCCTCAGGAATAGGGGACACTACAGCTGCAGCCTGAAGTCAGGCCTATGAGATTGTGTGCCTTTGATAATGTCCAAGTAAATAGAAATTTACATTTTGAATGTAAAATTGTTTGGCTTGGACTAAATTAGCGGGTAACTTGAAAATTCTAATGGAAGTGAGCTGTCTGAGTTACTCAGAAGGGGAGCCCCTTCCTTCTGCCTTTAAGAACCTCGATAATGAAAGAACAAAAGAGGTTGGTGTTGGGGTCTCAGGGTGTCCCATGGGGAGCACCTCCTCTCCCCCAGCTGAACGTGGTGCTTTGGTGTTGCTGGACCGTAAGCGCCGTTAGGAAAAGTGACTCTGGAAGATGGATTAACGTATAGTTAACCCAGTGTTTTGTGTTTTGGGGGGAGTCGGTGGGGGGGCGTTGGGATTGCTCTAAGTGGCTGATCAGAAAACGAAGTGCGAAGGGGGAAAGTCTATTTAAAGAAGTTCTCTAAGTCTTCCCCTTCCTTTTCACCAGGTTAGAGTTAGTCTGGCTCGGAGGACACACTAACTTGCCCAATCAGGCTTACATTACAGCACCAGGCCAGAAATAGCTCCCCCGCCGCCCTGGCCTCCAGCGTATTGCCATGGCAACAGAACCACAGTTCTATAAATAGCTCAACAGCACCAAATCTTGCGAGAGAGACAGCTGGAGCTGGGCCAGCCCAAACCCCAGCTCAACAAATAAAAATAGGCGGCTTCAGACATGGGCAAGGCCCCACTACCTCCACTTTTTAAAATGAGCACCAAGGCAGTGGAGCAGCAGCTCAGTGGTCAGTGCTAGCCAGGGCCTCGGAGTCCTCCTCCAGGGAAGACATTTTATAAGCTATGTCCTCTTTTTCCCGAAGTTTCTTAAAACTTTCCATAAAGTGGGGGTGTTTGCCACTTCCATCTGAAGTTGCAGGAGTCATTGAATGTTGCATTAAGAAAGAAACTTTTGAGTGGGCGGGGAGAGGCCAATGGGGGAAAAGGAGACATACGTAAACTTTCAACAATAAAGAACCAAGGAAAAAAAAAAAGAAAAACACTAAGATGGTGGAAAATTAAAAAACAACGACAAAGCAGCCTAAACTGCTATGAAGGAGGCCGTCCCGCCTCCGGGCGCCCCGGCCTGTACCTGTCCTCTGACTTGGATCCAGGGCCCAAGCAGGAACAATTGCAGGATTTCCATTTGTTTTTCGTTACTATAATTAGCACTTCCAGCTTTTAGTCCAAACTTTTTAGAAAATCAGGGGCTTTGTTGAAGAAGGGGTGGGGGTCGCAAGGACTGGCCCAGATGGGGCTGTTTTTCTGTCCGCTGTGAAAATATACAAACTTGCTTGTCTAGTAAACCCTTGGCAAAGCAATTATCAGCTGCCAAGAGGGGGGTGGCGGCATCTTTTTGCATGTATTTAAATTACAATAAGTAAAATATTTTTACATTATCCCAAGTATGAGAGCTGCCCTGTCTATCTACTGCCTGGAGATCAAGCCAATTAATTACTTTAAGCTAATTAATTATAGATGTCACCTTATTGCTGATAGTGACCATTTTTGGCTAACAGACATTAATTATTTATGTAAAATAATGTCACTGCACTAAAAAGTGCAATAAGGGCTTTGAGAGGGAGTGAATGAGCAGCCCTCTGGGTGCGGGGGCACGCCGGCCCCCGTTTACAAGTGGCTTGCGGCCTCAGTGTGTGCCATGTGGTGCTGACGGGCGAGGTCACTTACTACTGGGCACAGTCAATCAGCTGGTACTCGTTGGAGCGCTCATAGCAGGCGCGGACGCCCTCGTCCTCCCACAGAGCCTTGGCATGCTCGTAGAATTCCTGCGGGCAAGGAGAGGCGTCAGGGGGGCCGCCGCGGGCTGCAGAGGGCTCTGGGTGCGAGGGGTGCAGGGTGACAACTCCTGGCTTTTTGCTGGCGCACACCCTTAGCGTGACGCTCACTTGTGGGCACGGGAGAGCCGAGATTTGCAAGGGGTGACAGGCTTTCGCTCACCCATCTTGAGCCAGGCCCTAGTGATTCTTAGTGGTTTTTCGTTTTTATTTTTATTTTTTTTTTTAATATATTTGTATTGATTTCTGAGAGAAAGGGAGAGAGATAAAGCATCAATGATGAGAGAGGGTCATTGATTGGCTGCCTCCTGCACGCCCCCTAAAGGGGATGAAGCCCGCGACCCGGGCATGTGCCCTTGGCCGGAATGAACCGGGACCTTTCAGTATGCAGGCTGAGGCTCTAGCCACTGAGCCACACTGGCCAGGGCAATTGTTTTTTGTTTTTAAATATTAAGGATCTTATGGAATTAACTCTCTCCTAAGAATCACTGGGATGTGTTGGGCAGGACACAGGTGTGCTCTGCCACAGGTGGGCCTGTGCCACCTGGAGCTCTGGGCACCGAGGGGTGGGGTAGGGCGAGGAGGGGCCCTGCGGGGCGGGGCGGAGCTTACGGGAGGGAAATCAAAGTCAGGCTTGTTCATCACACTCAGAATGTAGTCCACGCGGAACTGGTTCTCAGGGTTGGCCAGCTCCACGGGCGGCACCAGGTTGCTCATGGCGGCCACAATGGTCTGAAAGGGATTTAGCAGGCGGTCAGGGGCAGTACTGTGTGGTGGGGAGGCTAACTGAATGAGAAAGAACTGAGCACATACTTCAATGGCCTCCTTCAGGTTGTTTTTGATGTCCTGCACCTTGGTGGCCTTCTCACTACAGTGGGATTGAAAAGGAAAAAGGAAGTCACATGGTGTCGTGGTGCCTAACAGGGCCCGTTTTAGTCAATACATTCCGCTAAGGATAGTATTCTGTTCTTGAAGGGGGGGGTTGGAGGGTCCCGAGTAAAGGTGGTCTCAAATCGCCACCGCCCAGCTCTGCCTGCAGGCCACGCCTGCCTGGGCTCCACCAGCAAACTGGCATCTAGGTAGTGACCGAGGCCTACTGTACCAGAGGTTGTGCCCTGTCCGCTGCTCCCCTCACACGTGGGCCTGCTTGCTGGAAGCCCCCAGCACACACTAGCAGGTCCTCGGTGTCAGCGTCCCTGTGGGGGCGGGGGCGGGGCCAGGGAGAAAGTTTCATGGTTCCCCTTGGGGCTTCCTCCCCATGGGGTCAGGGGCTGAATGAGGGGGTTATAAATCCCACCTCGGGGCTTTTGCAGCCCTGGTCACTGGCTGATTGATTGTTTACTTGTTTACTGGTCATTGTGTCTCACTGTGGCCAGCAGCAATGACTGGCTACTGGCGCGGGCCTGTGGTGTGGCTAGGGTTGAGGCTGCCCCAGAAGCCTTTTTGTGACCCGGGGCTTCTGCACTGGGAAGGGGAGGGGGGAGGGGACACAGGCTAGAACCTTGTTGCTTTAATTTGGACCTATACAATGGCCTTTGGAGTTAACTCTTTGCTGAGAATGACCGGGATGTGCAGGCAGGACACAGGTGTGCTCTGCCACAGGTGGGCCTGTGCCACCTGGAGCTCCGCGCTCCAGGGGCGGGGCGGGGCGGGGCTTATGGAGGGAAATCAAGTGTGGAATGATCTCAACCTCCTTCCCTGGCAAAGGCCACACCCTAGGGCTTCTGGGTGCCCTCCCCCAACCCCCCTGCATACCCTGCACCCCATTAGGTCAATGAAAACGCTATCTTCCCCAAGCTGCCCTTCACCAGAGGCTGGGCCAGCGTGTTTTTAAGGGGAAAGGACCCTTAGCTTGGGGCGTGACTCATGCCAGGCCCATGGCCCCAACCAGCCTCTGGGCTTGGGGGGGGAGGGGGCAGGTTTGGAATCCAAACACCTGCAGTGTATTAGATGCAGGTTCGGGACTGAGGAGACACTGAGGCCCGCAGAAGGGGCAGGGCTTATTTCTCCCGCTGTAACTTTTATAAGAATCCCTTGAGATTGTCTGTTTGAAGCCTTCACCTGGGGGAGTCTGGGTGGGGTGGTGACCCCTCAGGAGGAGAGGGCAGAACATGAAAAGGGGAAGCGCAAATGGGTTAATAGCAGCCAGTCCGCCTGGGTTAGTGGGGGGAGGAGTGGAGGACGAAGGAGGAGCCTGGGAGCAGGGAGCTGAGGGGGCGTGTGCTTGCCCCCCAAACCTGGTCTTTGTCTTATAATGTTCCCATTTGCATATGAGGGGCGGCTCTCATCTCCAGGATGAGCTCATGTGGCCCCTTTCCAGAATCCCCCCTCCCGTCCAGCCAGCCCGGGAGGCCTGCCCCCCACCAGAGGGAGGGGCCACGCCGCAGAGTCGGGGGGCGGGGTGACGGGGGTGCCTGTTTGGGCCAGAGCTGCACCCGGGGGACTCCAGGAGCTGGGGCGGGGGGACTGGAAGACTGGGCCCTGTGTGCTGTTTGTGCAACTCGCAGCGCCTCCCTGCGCCTTGGGTGCCCGGCTGGGCTGTGCGCAGAGGCCTGCACCTTGGCAGGACGTGTCTGGCCCCGCCCTCCCCCCCCCCCGCCTTATTCAGGGGTTCAGGCGCGCCTAGGCCCCGGGGATTGGGGCGGGCTGTGTGGGGCGGGCTCTGGGGTCTGAGTAGCGGGATGGCAATGGGCACGTGCCCGCCCTGAAGCCCGGACCCTCTGAGGACGCGCCCGGCGCTGTCGGGGAGGTGGGAGGGGATCAGCGGAGCCGCTAAGTAGGAAGCCGGCCTCACTGGGGTGCAACACTCCGTGGGCGCCGCCTTCGGCAATTAGCGCGCAGACGGAGCCGCACACACTCCGGGGCTGAGGGGGCGGCACCCCAACCGCTGCTCAATGAGCGGAGCTGGGGGCGGGCTGGGAGGGGCTCCGCGGGCTGGGCCGGGCCGGGCTTCCGCCCGGGGCCGCTGGGAGGGCCCGGAGCGCGAGGCTCCTCCCCGTGTGGGAAGCAGAGGGCTGGGTTCAAGTCCTAAGGGCCCCCTCCCCCTCCCTGGGCCTCGGGGGGTGGGGGTGGGGGTGGGAGTGGTCTCCATTCTTGTGCTTTTTATGGGGAAAGACAGACAAGGAGAGACAGAAGACAGACAGGGACTGCTGAGGCATGCAGAGTTTTTTATTTATCAGTTAGAGAGAAGAGAATGCAAGTGTTAGCAGGGCAGGGTTAGGGCAGCATCTAGCAGACGGAGTTGTTCAGTAAGGACTGGTCACTACTTCTCAAATGCCAACTTTTGGTACAGTAAACTGAGTCAGTCACTTGTTACATAGACGCCCATTTTGGTGCCACACTGCATTTCTGAACAATTAAGGAGTTATTTAGTTTCATGTCACACTACATTACTGAACAATTAAGAAGTAAACGTCTATTTTGATATCACACTACATTTTGAACAGTTAAGGACTACACGTCTATTTTGAATATCACACTACATTTTGAACAGTTAAGGACTAAATGTCTACTTTGAATATCACTACATTTTGAAGTTAATTTCATCCCATTTTTGTTTTTTGTGATTTTGTATTTTTCAATTTTTTTGTGTGTGTTTTTTATTTTTTCTCCCCCCCAGTTATCTTCAGATGTTAGGTGGAGTCCCTCCTCCCTCCGCCCCCCTCCCCCCTCCCTCCTCCCCTCCACCTTCAGTCCCCAACAGAATAGTATTCTTATTAGAAGTTCCTAAAACGGGCAATCCCAGCATGCAACAAGGGTGATAGGACAGTCGGGAAGGGGAAGAGGAGAAACCGAGAGGGGGGAGAAGAGAAACCGAAGCCATCATCTAGAGGGAAAGTATTCTAAAAGAAACAGATGAACAAACAGGTGTCAGTCACTTTGTCCCGCCCCCATCTCCTTTGCCCCGCCCCTCCCAGCCACTTCTTGGAGGAGCCCTGACTCAGTCCATGGCCCTGCATGGTCTCATGAGAAAGCTGCCGATGACAGCATGCTGAACGTGCAGGCACAGCTGGAGCAGGTTACCTGTCATGCATGCATGTGTGTGCTGGCATGTGATGGTGGTGATGCAGGAAGTGAAGGAAAACATAACTCGATAATGAATGGGGGACAAGATGGATGCCATCACTCATTTTCTGTCCTGCCCACTAGCTGACATAGGGCCTCTGATTAAATTGTTGACTTTTTGACCAGAGGCTTTTTGAAATCAACTCACCCCCACGTGCCAAGTACTTCTTTCCCCCCCAAATTAAGGAGGGTGTGGCACCTCGTATTTTAGGGGAGATTTTCCTCAGAGAGGTCTGAAATTTTAAAATCAGACCCACCGGGTGGTGGAATTTAGTTTTTTTTTTTTTGTTTGTTTGTTTTTAAAGTAGCAGATTCAAATGAAGAGCTGGGGGACTGGACTGGATAGGAATATAAGAAAAAATAGCAATTCTCGAAATCTTAAACTGGTGGTCTAAGCTGGCAGCTTTTCCCCCCCAGCTGGATCTAATCGTACTCTAAGGATGGCCAAAAGAAAAGCCACAACAGAGCTGTTTGCATTTCACGTGCCATGAGATGAGGTTGCTTATGTGTTGTGTGCAAACGTATGTGTCAGGATGGATGATGGCCCCTGCATGATCTCTGCCTTCGTCCCGGGCTCTGCCTCAGTTCCCCAATCTGCTCTTCATGTCTGTCTGCTGGAAAGTTTGTCTGTTTTTGAATGTGCCTACCCTTCGCTGTTGCTCCTGGCAGCCTGCGGGTCCTCTTCGCCGCCCCTTTTAAAGAGAGATTGAAAGCTCACCTAATCTGCAAGGCACTGCAATGTCACAAACCCCCACCCAAAGGGCCGCCATCCCGCTAGTGCTCAGGTCGCCTCCTTGGCTACTAGAAAGGCCTCCGGGGCTGCGGCCGGGGGGAACGCCACACCCTGGCTGCAGTATTAGCGGAGCCCTCGGGAGGCTCTGGCCGGGACAGGAGGGACTGCTAATTATTTTCTCGTGCTTCCACTAATTGTGCATGCACCAGGGAGCTGGCGGTGGTTCCTCTCCGTCCTCGGGGACCACGGCAGTACCTGCGAGGTCCTCAGTGTTGACTGAGCACGGGCAGCGCGGTGACGTCTGCCTGTGGCATCTGCTGCGACGGTAAGACCTCCCTTCCTGCAGCCCAGAAACTACCCGTATGACGTCATTGATGAGTAATTGTCATCACTTCAAACCACATCTGGACTTTGAAAACCGAACCAAACCAAACACACCTTTCAAAGCCTAGTCTTCCCGGTGGGGGGCGCCCCATCCTGAAGGTCTGAGGGGCAGCCCGGCTAAGTGTGGCGGTTTTATCATCGATTAGCTCAGCTGGCATGAATGGTGCTGGGGTTTTTTTTTTTTTCAGTGCAAGAGGAGTTAGCTGTGCGTTAGGGAAATCTGACTTTGACCTCTCCTTCTGGAAGTCAGGTTAGAATCACAAGTTACTCTGACAGGTAACCAGCGTGGCAGTTAAGGCGAGTTGAACAGCTCAGCTAGCACTAAGGAAGCGCATTTGCTTACGGGAGGGCAGGGACCCCCCACCCGGAGCCCCTGCCAGGAGGGAACCCGTTTGTTGCGACACGGCATCAAGGAAAAGAGGCGCCTGGGACCAGATAGAGATAAGGGTTCAGAATCCCCTGCATGTCACTTTCGCAGGCTAAATTTAACATCCCACCAGATTACCTATGGCTTCCTCTATGAAGCAGGCAAACTGGGAACTCACTTCCTCTTTTTAAAAAAAGAAATTAGAAAAGAGAAGTTTTGGTTTAAATGCCTGGACTGCATTATAGATGGGCTGACTGATGGAGAGAGGAAAATCCTTTCTCTAAAAATAATAAGTAAATAAATAGGGCAATTAGGAGTTATAAAACTTTAAATAACTAAGGTAAACGTGGCATCCCTTTAAAAATGCTAGCCACGTCGTTTCAAACAAAATATTTATCTCAGGTCCGCAGGCGGGGTCATTCCGGTTAACCGGCCTCCTGAACCGCTTTCTGGTAAGTTGTGTGTGTGTGGGGGGGAGGGGGGTGTCACTAAAGTAGCCATTGGTATGATGTCATCCTTTTCTTACCCCCCTCCCTTGATCTAAGAAATTCTAGAATTTTCCATAAAGAGCTGCCTTCAGGGCAGCGTACCCTCTGAAAGGGGTAAATTAATTGGTCCCTGGCACTGGGAGGGCAGTGGGCTTGCGTTTTTGCGTGTGTGCCCCCGGGAGCAACGAAGGGGTAAAGAGAGGCTGGGACTGCTAACCGCTAGCAACGGGAAGCAGGCTTTGCCGGGTTTGAGGGGGGCAGCTCCCTGGCTAGCCGGGGGCTCTGTACCCACCCCTCCTGCGTTTTCCTTTCCTCTCCCTGCACTGCGGCTGGTCACGGCCTGTGACCCCACCCCGAAAAGGGCGTTTCAAAGACAAAAGTGCCCCCTGGTCCGCTACAGCACCTACTCCTGGCCTCCCCACCCTATCTCTCCTGTCTCTCCAGGCCCAGTGCTGATTGTTAAAAAGGAAACAATGATTCGGGTAACATTAATTCCAGGGAGGGGGATAGTAATTAGCAAGGCTGCCTCTCTAACTTGCTTTGTGAGGGGGTTATTGAAACAATGTTTCCCTGACAGTGAGAGGCCCTGCTGGGGCGCTGCGGGGAGATCTGGGGGGTGCTCTGCAGTGGGTGTCACCTGACGGGGCGGCCATGCTGGGGACCCACTGCACCACGGCCTGCGGCAGACGGCCGGGCCGCCTTTTCCTCACCCGCCACCTTGCCTTACTGCTTACTGTCACCTTTGTGGCTGCCCCAAATACCCAAAGGAGGGGAGGGGGACCCTGAAGAGCCCCTCTCGGGATTCTCTAATACCAGGCTGAAAAAGTAAGTGGAAATGGGCTGCCCGGTCTCCCCAGGTTCCTGAACGCCCTAAAGGTCAGTGTCCAGTGTGTCCTGTCCCTGGTGCGGCTCAGACACTTACTCTCCATTAAACCCATTAACATGCAGAATCCTCATTTGCTTGACAATGGTGCTTTTACCAGACTCTCCCGCACCTAGAAAATGAAAGTGAGGCTCAGGTTAAGAGGGGCATTTGGCACGGTGGGCAGCGAGGGGCTGTCTCCCACGGGAGCAGCACAGAGGGAACAACAAACAACAAACAAACAAGAGGCGTGCACTTTTCATTGGCAAACAATACAGCAATGTCCCGCTCTGGTCCCTGCAGTATTTCACCACTAAACAACAAACAAGAATTAAAGGTTCCGTGGGCGTGGGCCGTTTTGTTTTAAATTTGTGGGGTGGGGACCCCCCAGAGGGAGGGGGAGCGATGCCATTTTGTCATTTTGGGGAGGGGGTTCGAGGAAATTGAAGTTCAAACTGTGAAGCTGAATCCTCGAAACAGAGGATCTAGGTGAATTGCACACGTGGACATGTAGAGCCACGTAATTCGTTGTTTGTCCATGTTTCATGGTTAAAATACCCAGGTCCCACCCAGCGCCAGGCCCTGCAGTCTGCCGCAGCGCGTGCCCCCAGCGCGGTCCCAAAGCAGCGCCGCCCGGGCAGCGGCCCCGCCCGGCCCAGCCCTCAGCCCAGGGGGCCTTCTACCGCCCCCCCTTCTCTCTGGGCTCAGCAACCCTGGCACATGGGGGGGGGGGGCGCAGAAGAGCGCCCATTTTCTCTTCTGGAAAAACACATTTTAATATCAAGTACAGTGCTTGAGAATGACATTAACATGCAGCAACTCTAATTAAAGAGTTAAAAACTTTAATCCTAAGGAAACCACTGCATTTTCAAAGATGTCAAGCCCTTCCCAACTAAAAGAAGGGTGACATATCTCCATTTTAAATGACCTTACCTTTATGTGTTCCAGGCTAGAAGGAGGATTGCTATTGTTTTCTTTTAATTTTTTTTTTGTAAATACACACTGTTCCACAAAATAATTCTTGTGTGAACCATTTTTTTAATCTTTCTCTCACACAAACTGTTTGAGGTTTTTTTGTTTGTTTTTCTTCACCCCCCTCCCCTTACTTTTCTTGTTTTTTTTTAATTTTTTAATTTTTTTTTTTTTTTATTTCCCAGAGACTAAAGCATTCCTCCTTCTCTTGCTTTTCACAAGGCTGTAATCAATACCTGGGAAAGTTAAAAGTTTCTAAAGAAACATTGATTTCAAAGCAAACACTCCATCTTAATGAGCCTCGCTCTATTTAAAATAGGAGATTCCATGAAGAAAAAAAAACATAAAATTAATCAGAATCTCCAATATTCTTATTTGAGAGGTGATAGGATGCGTAATAGTGCTTTTAGAGGCACAAAACAGATCAGCGCCTCAGTTTCCACATAAGGGAAATAAGAGAATTGGGCTGGAAACGTTTTTTTGGCACTGTAATTCACTATTAAATTAAGACAGATTAAAGAGAGGACTTGGGGCGTCACTGTTTCCTCTCTTTTTTTTGGGGGGGGGGTATTTGGTAAGAATCACCTTAAAAATGCAAAATGTCTTGCCCTGGTGAGGGCTGCAGACACCTGTGCCAGCGGCTGCGGACCAGCTGGGCTAAGATGCAGCCACAGGACCTTGGGGAAGGTGAGCCCAGTGGTGCAAGGTGTGGCCAAGCAGAGGAGGCTCTGATTACTGCCAAAGGTGCTAAGATTTAAGGCACCATTAGCATCGCACTTGTTTCAAATTAGTATTCGGGTATGGCTCGAAGCCAAGGAAAAGGTTCTAGACTTTTCCAGTCTTACTTACACTTTGAAATCAAGTTTTTGCATATTATTCTTCACACAGTGTAATTCTGCCTTTAGGAGTTTTAAATAAGACCTCAACATATGTATCATTTAATTACTGAAAGTGCAAGTGCAGAAACACCAAAAAACACTTATTTACACTTAATAATTTCCTGCTTTATATAAACCTGGACTCAGGGAAACAAAGGCATAACCCATCCAAAGCAAAGCAAACACCACAAAGAAAATCAGCCTTTACACTTTATTCTTTATAACTAAGCTGTTTTGTCGAAGGGTTACCAGCAACTAGGTCTTAACCTACCAATTCACCAATCCAGATAACCAAATAACTGAGGAAGTGGAAAACTTCCATACTAATTAATGCTTGTGTAATTCTTCTGGTCATTTCACCACTTTTAAATAATTTTTTTTGTTTTATTTTAACTTCTCTCCCCCCCCCCCCCAAAGCCGCACCTTTAAGAAAAAGGAGGAAAGGTCATCTCAAATTCCACCCCCCTTTTTGGCCAAAGTGAAAACCGCAATCAGGAGCGAAAGCCCAGAACCAAACAACCAAATGTCACTTGACAAACAACTAATTAGCGTCTTTTCATCTCCTCCACCTGGAAAAGTCTCCTCCAAGCGCAAGCCGCCTCCCTGCCCCCTTCAAAGGACAGAAAACGCCATTTCCAGACCCAGAAGCCATTTCCAGACCAATGTCATTTTCCAGTTCTGATTTGTGAATGCCCCCCCCACACACACACAAAGTCCTGGCAATGTGGGGACTAACAGGAAAATGCGCGTGTTAATTTATTGAATTTGTCGGGGGGAGGCGATGCTGCTGGGGGTGAGGGCAGCTGCTGCCATTAATTCTCTTCTCTGCTTTTCAAAAAGCCTGCGTGTCTGGGAGGGGGAAAAAGGTCATACTGTAAAAATGACGTGTCATTTGGCTTCGCTGGGCACTCAGCGCACCAACTCCATTTTTTTTTATTTTTTTTTATTTGAGTCTCCTTTCCTTCTTTCCGCGGCCTGGCCGGCCCGGGACACATCTGCCCCGCGCAGAGTGTCCGGCCTGGCCGCAGCGAGTCGCGCCCGGCGCCGCGCGCCCTCCTCCCCGCCCCCCCCCCCCCCCCGGCGCCACGACTCCCCGCACCCACCTCCTCTCCGCAGCCCTCCGAGGGGCTGATGTCACCGCCCCCCCACCCGCCGCCCTGCGGGAGGCCCAGGCCGCGGGCGCCCCCCGCGCCTTTCCCCCCTTCCCTCTGCGCGCAGATCACCCCCACGGAGGCGGGTCCCCCTCCTGCGGCCCGCCGCCCCGTTTCCTGTCCCCGAGCCCTCTTTGTCGCAGTCTCCCGGCCGGCGGGGCTCCCCTCCCCCTCCCGACCAGCCCGGGCCCCGCGCCGTGTAGGCCTCGCGGAGAGAAAGGAGCGAGGGGCGGGAGAGCCGCTGGGCCGGAGCGGCCAGCGAGGGGGACCCGCGCCCGCCGCCGAGCCCCCGACCCCGTTCTGAGCCCCGCCCGCCCCGTCTGCGCCCCGGGGCCCCTTCCGGCCTCGGCCCGAGACAGAGCCCGCGGGCGGCGGGCCGGGAGCGCGCCCGGCGGGGGACGGGCTCGGCGCGCGGGCCTGGGCGCCCCGAGGGGCTCCCGGCCGGGCCGGCCGGCGTCCCCCGCCCGCCCTTACCCAGCAGCAGCAGGCGGTGGGTGGCCCGGTAGACCTGCTTGTCCTTCTGCAGCTGCTTCTCGATCTTCTTGTTGGCCTCGCGCTGAGCCTTCTCCTCGTTGCGCTGGTCCTCGGTCTTGCTGTTTCCGAGACAGCCCATGGCGGCGGCGGGCGCGGCCGGCGGGTCGGCGGGCGGGCTGGCGGCTCGGGCGGGCGGGCCGGGCGCGGGCTAGGCTCCTCGGGGAGGAGCGCGCGGGGCGGACTGAGAGCCGCTCGGGGAGGGTGGTGGCGGTCGGACGGAGGGGAACGAGCCGTTCCCGCCCCTCGAGCCGGAGCCAAAGGGGCTGAGGGCCGCTCGGGGCCGAGGCGGACCAGAGCAGGAGCTGCGGGAGCTGCTGGAGCTGCTGCCGCGGCGGCCGCTCTTATTGCCTCGGCCCGGGCCCGCCGCCCCTACCCAAAAGGGCCCCGGCGGGCGGGGGGAAGCGGGGGGAGAAGGAGGCGGCGGCGAGGGGGGTGGAAGGAGGAGGAGGAGGGATGAGAAGCAGCCGCGGCGGCAGCCCGGCGGCGGGGAGGGCGGGAGCTGGCAGAGGGAGGCGCCCCCCGGGTGCCCGGGGAGGGGGTCCCTCCGCCCGCTCCCGTCCCGGGACGGGAGGCGCCCCCTCGCCCCCAAGCCGGGGCCCCAAACGGGCGGGCCGCGGGGGGAGAGGGGGCGGCCCCGAGCCAGTGACGACCCCTCGCACGACGCCAACGCTCCACCCCCGCCCGGCCTCGCAGCCCGAGGCCCCCCTCCCGCAGGCGCCGCCGAGGGGCCGGGGTGGGCGGAAGGGGAGGGAGCGCGGGCCAGAGCCCGGACTTCGGAAAATTTTCTGAGAGAGAGAGAGAGAGAGTCACAGAGAAAGCCAGAGCGGAGTGTGGAAAAAGCTAGGCGAGCATGAACCAAAGGACACAGCAACCGAAAAGGAAAATGTGTTCACACAAACACACGAACTTAATAAAACTCCACACTGCACAGTGATGGTGGTGGTGATGGTGGTGTCTGGTGGTGGGGGGCTGGGGGTGGGGGGCTTGGGGGGGGCTTAGATGAGCCTCTCCCCGCGCCCCCGGCGCCGGGCACCGCGGCCCGAGCCGGAGGGCCCCGTGGCCCCGGGGCGCCCGCGGCCCCTGCGCCTGCGGCCCCAGTAGGAGAAGAAGGCGCAGCCCAGGAACATTCTAAAGCAGCAGGTTGCCCCGAACACGAAGCCGCAGCCGCGGCCATGCTCCCTGCGCTTGTGGAGCAGGAAGTCCAGCACCCACGAGGGGCTGCGCACGGAGAAGAGCAGGAACACCATGAGAGGCATGTGGGTGCTCAGCTCGCCGGTCTTCGGCGGCCACGGGTTCCAGGCGATGCCCCCCACGCGGGGCTCTCGGTAGTAGGCGTAGGCGTCGTCCTCGTCCCAGTAGCACCGGGCCCAGCACCTACTCGTGCCCGCGGTGCCGGCGCCCACGCCTCTTGCGCCCTCCGCGGTGCCCGCGGCGGCGGCGGCGGCGGCGGCGGGCCCCGGGGCAGCGGACCCCTTCTTCTCCTTCTTCTTCTCCTTCTTCTGCGCCTTCTCCAACTTCTTCCTCTCCTTCTCCTTCTTCTTCTCCGCCTTTCGCCTCTGCTCCAGCAGCTTCTTCTCGAGTTTTCTCTGCTCCTTCTC